GCTTGTTGAACGTTTGTGCATCTTCTCTGGAGATATGTCTAAGGCATTTCCTTTCTGTCGTTTTAACTGGGTTATTTTCTTTTCTTGTGGAGATCTACAACCATATTTCTCTATCTGTATGTCCCCCAAATTTCACTACTTCATCTGTGAAATTATTGTATTTTTAAGGAACAGTCTGTAACTTTTCAGTCATGATAATAGGTTGACTCAAAGGTTTCAAAACTATTAAAGGGAATTATTTTTGCACTCATCTTATAACCCTCCTTGCTCCCATTAGCATTTAGTACCACACTGGTATTACAATGGCAATTTTGGGTTGGCAAGCAAGAAATTCTTAATGATCACATGAAATTTACTTTGTTATTTTGAATACATTTGGTGAAATAGATTTATTTTATTTTGGAAATACTACAGACTAGCAAATAATATGAACTGTTTGGTGCAAGGTTTAATGCTAGTTCTATATTTGTATACTTTGCAGTAACAAAATTAAATCAGCATTTGGAGGAAATTTTCCTTCATTAAGAAGAAAGTGGGTTGATGCAGGTTTCCTATGTTTGTAGTCTTTTAAGAAGTAGGAAGTATATTCATATTTTATTCTTTTAGTCACCTCCAGGTTTGAAGAAGAATTTGATGCGAACTTATGAGTCTTGGACTCCTGAGCAAATTAGCAAAAAAGATAATATACACCGGGCTCATGCTCTTTTTAGTTTAGCATGGTTTCATGCTGCTTGTCAAGAAAGAAGAAATTATATTCCACAGGTAATTATAAGTATGTTTTGATAGAGTTTAAGCTTTACATTTATTAAGATATTTTTATAGTTTAGTATGTAAAGGTAGTGTTATGTCATAATTTGGTTTTCTAATTCAGTGTTTTTCTGTTAAGTTTTCTATACTGTATAATGTCTGGTTATAGGCTTCATGTACCATTGAGTTGATATATGAAAGCCAGTGTGTGACCCAGTGGAGATACCCAGTGAGCATCAGGTACCACTCCTGGGATGTATATTTTAACAGATATCTCAAATTTCCAAAATTAAACCTCCCATACTTGTTTTCTTCAGAATAGCCTTAGTTAAAGGCCTTCACACTTTGCTGCTCTAGGAATTGTTCTTGCTGTATCCTCTGCGCACTTTTCTCTTCAATCCGTTAACACCTACTGGTCTACCTCCAAACATAATTCCAATGTGTGTAGCCTTGTATAAATGTGTTTTATGTGTATTTGAGTTGTCTTTGCATTTGCCTGGAAGCTACATGGAAACATACTCATGTTTGGGTTTATTCTTACATGCTTAGAAACTCATCTGTAATGAATATTTAAGAAATATTTTGAACAGTTAATCAATACTTGTATATTCCTAAATAGTAAAACTATCCAGGTTTTAAAAATTTTAGTTCAAACTTATTTGATTATGTAATTAGTATAGTTAATGGAAACCCTGTAGAAAGAACTTTCATATTTCACATTATTGTTCTGTAGTATCATGTTTTAGGAATATTTTTACATAAACATTATAGTTCCTAGGTAATTTGGGGGTGCGTAATATAAATTAGTATATAGACATATAGTATGCTTTTAGGACTTATTTTGGCAGTATTTCTGTTTTTGTGTTTGTGGACAAAATGTAAAGTTCGAAAGTATAAAGGAATAGGAAACATTAATGTGCATATGGTATATAGATTAAGAAATGTACTGTATTACTTTGTACTTACTCCACTGCTGTTTCCATGGTGATAAAAAACTCTAGTGGAATTGCAAACTCATTTTCATGCTTCTGATGTCAGTAGATTTTTTAAAATACTACTTTTAACATTCAGTGTATTGATTTTTAAAGATTTTATTTTTGAGTATATAGGGAATGATTTTCTTAAATTTTTGAGGATGGTGATGTATAGATGCATGTCTTTGATTTTACTGTGCCTTACATTTGCTTTAATAGGGTTGGACCAAGTTTTATGAGTTTTCTTTATCAGATCTTCGGGCTGGGTACAACATTATTGACAGGCTCTTCGATGGTAAGTTTTAATAAACAAAAAGCCAAGACTGGACTTGCACTGCTGTCTATGGTATGGCTGTACCTGAGTGGCTTATTCTTGTCACATGCTGCTATCCAAGGTGTGGCTGTACATGAATGGCTGATTCCTGTCACACACACTGCTGTCCATGGTGTGGTTGTACATAAATGCCTGATTCCTAGCACAGATTTGGGGTTTTGCATTATTTAGCATTTTAATGTCCCGACTGCTGTGTCTGTGTTATCTGAAGGTTCTTGGGTTGTCTCCTGTGGTCATTGATTTTAATACAATGCATTAGAATTCTGACTTACCAGTGGTTTTTAGGAAACAGATCTAGAAAGAGCTTGTGTCCATTGTGTGGCCTATACAACTTTCAGGCTTCAACGAATTATTCGGACCTCTTTCTAAGAAATTAATATTGTGGATTACAACAATGCAGGGCTAGAACTAAGAATTTGTAGAGTCTTGTGGAATTCCTAAGTAAGTCTCCTGAAGCAGTGCAGGAATGAAAGCTGTAACTTCATCCCATGGAGCCATTTAGCCCTTGGCTTCCTTGACACGAGTAGCAGTCTGCTCCTAGATTGTGTTGTGCATTGCTGAGACAAGGGGGAATTAGAGTGTAGACACACAGTGGATCAGAGAGCAGGTTAGGTTGATAGAAATGTAAATGTAGGTTCTACAGCCACAGTTCATAAGTCCTGTCCCCCTGTCAGCCTTGTTGTGCTGTCCAGCTGCTCTTCACCAAGTACCCCCATCCCAGTAGATGATGGTATTACCATTTGTGCTGTTTCAAGCCTATAACTCTCCCTCAACTCTATTTTTCTCAGATATCCTGTGCTGTGACAGTTTTTTTCTTTCTGTTTCTGTGTCACATTGTGGTTCTGTTAGCCTGATTCAAGCCTTAGAAGTGTGTGTGAGCACCTTCTTTTCTAGTTCCCCTTTTGTATCCACCTTCCCCTTGAGCGTGCTCCATGCTGTGCAGCCATGCATCTGGAAAAGGAAGCCTCGGACTTCCTTAACCATGCAGCCACTGGGCTTCCCATTCCCCACAGGTTTTCATGGTCTCTTCCCTGACAGGCTCCTCTCTGCAGTCAGCAAGTCTGCCTTCTGTCATTGGCATCTCAGCTTACAAGTTTCTTCTCCATAGAAGCCTTTTCTTGGCAATATGTTCAAAGGATCTTTTTGCTACTGTCCTTTTTCTTTATTGTTCTAACAAATCAGAACTGCCTAATATGCATCTGCTTATTTACACATTCGTCAAGGTGAAAATGTGTACATGATGAAGTGAACCAGAACACTTTTGTGCTTTTGTTGTGTTACCTCACTCCAGTCGTTTACTGCATTGTAATGTGCAGTGCAGGCAGTGTGAAAGAATGGCCGTCCTTTATGTTAATATCCACCACGGTGCTCATCACAGGCATTTAGAAACTGAATTGTGGTGAAGTCCTCAGCTTGTTAGTCACTGTTGGTAGTAAGGTTTCAGCTGGGGACAGTTTCTCATTCCTATATGGGTAGCCTAATTCTGCAGAAGGCAACATAAATCACTTATGTCTCAAAGCCTAGAGTAACATTACTGTCAATGCTTTTGCTTTGCCTGTCTCTGAATTTTATAGTAGTGAACTAGCCATAGTAAATAGGAAATATAATTATATTAAATGAACAGTAATAGCAAACCAGTAATGCCAATGAACTGGCTATTTAAATATAGTTATGTGTTTACCATATATAATGGAGAGCTGAGCCTTCCTCACTGTCTTAATATTGCTGCTGACATGATTGGAATACATCTCTGCTGCAGAATGCAGTAGTGTTGTGATATGATTGGAATACATCTCTGCTGCAGAATGCAGTAGTGTTGTGATGTGATTGCAGTATGTCTCTGCTGCAGAATGCAGTGTTGTGATGTTATTGCAATATGTCTCTGGTACAGAATGCAGTAGTATTGTGGAGAACAGCTTCCCTGTGTGTGTGTTTTTATGCTGTGAGGCTTGGACACGATGACAGAGTGCTCTGCCAGTTATCTGCATCCCCCACCCCCATGCTCCATTTTTCCTCTTGCAATAGCAGAGTTGTCTGTAGACTCTTAACATGTAGAAGACTACTGTGTGAAGACCTGCAGCAGTTCCCTTTTTAATCAGATTATCTTATGAGCTGCTTGTTTCACAAAGCACAGGTGATAGTGTTCTCTGTGTCTATGTATTTGCTTAATAATATGCACCAGACAGTCATTCTGGATACAGTTACATTTGGAACAGATTTTTCCCAAGGGGTTTCCAAACTAATTAGGCATTACTATATGGTTAGAAAACAGGATGACCTTGTGCTCAGAATGTGAAGTTTACACTCTAGATCTGTAGGATCCTGTGATTTCCTTGTTATGGTGACCCAGACTCCTAGCTCTCCGCTGTCACATTCATAACTTGATTGAGTTGATAAGTGTAAAATCATTGGAAAGAAAATCTTTGCTAAGTATTTAATGACCATTTAAGGAAATCATTAAGTTGTGTTAAATATATTGCTATAGCCTAGTGATTAAAATCATATAGTTTTGTTTTGTTTTTGTTTTTTACATTTTAAAAGTGAAATTAAAAGAAAAGTAAAAGCCTGAGGAGAAGAAGGGTACTGTGAAGTGCTGTATTCTGGACACGACATGGTTCCTGTTCTTGTGAACTCACAGAGCTCTTGCTACCTCCAGCTTCGATGGAGTAGATGATCTAAGGCCTCATGCCTTACTGGGGAGCCAGTGGAGTTGGTTGGGAACGGAAAGTCATTCTTTCTTGGAGGATGTGGCCCCTTTTGGGTTCCCATGCTCCAGTCATGACCCCTGTATATAAGCACATCTATGCAGCACTGACTGAACTTAGTGGGTTACCAAAGGGGAAATAAGTAATAACATTGGGAAGGGGGCTTGTTGGGAAGCCATGAAGGGAGAAAATGAGGGAGAGATATGATTGTATTTCATTTTATATCTATATGAAATTCTGAAGAATAAAGAAAATCCTTTTAAAAGTAAAACTAGTAAAAGTATCTGTTTTTCTCATAGGTACCAAAGATGTCCAGTGGGAATTTGTACATGGCTTACTTGAAAATGCTATCTATGGAGGACGTGTCGATAACTGTTTTGACCTCAGGGTTCTTCAGTCATACCTGAAGCAGTTTTTTAATTCTTCAGTAATTGATGTACTAAACGAAAGGAACAAGAAAAGCATTTTTCCATATTCCATCTCTCTCCCCAACTCCTGCAGCATTTTGGTAGGTAGAAATAATGATCTCCCATGCATTTCCTGTACCTGCACACAATGAATTGTGTGATGACTATGTTATTGGTTCTCCAAGCACACAGATAATTGCAATGCAGATTGTTTGTTTTGGCAATACATGGTGTCATTCTTAGAACTTGCACCAATAAAAACTTGGGTGTTTAATCAGTCAATTGTTGCAATTGTGAGATACTGGGAGTACGGTGCCAAAGATACTCATAGGACTTCGGCCTTCTCCGCAGGGCTGTAATGGGAGATGCACCACTTCTAAAATGCTGAGATATACAAAGCTACTTTTACTTTAAAGCCTGCCTCGATTCAGTGTGTGACTGACATAGATATGTGGAACAGATATAAACAGTTCATTTATCTGTATTAGTCACTGCTGCCTACATGCCCCCTGTCCAGACATGCAGTCTTCTGGACAGCACTTGCCTTTTCTGTGGCATGTGCTAAATATAGCCCGTAGGTGCTAACTGTGTCTACTTTCCCATGAGCTTATGTTTATATAAATGTCACAGTACTTTTTACTACATCAGGTATTGTGACATTTCTTCATGAATTACAAAGATAAGCATATGTGTTTGATTTACAAATTAGTCTCATTTTTGTGATGTTTTTCCTCACCAAATAAATTTTCAAAAATATTCTTGATTTAAAAAAACAAAACAAAACAAAACCTCAAAGGCTTTAAAAGCACTGGTAAAGTTGTTACTTATTGAATATATTTTCTGGTGTTAATGATGATTTCACCTAAGTTGTGTATCCTTTATTTACCTAACCATTCAACCATGTGCATCTGTGCAGTGACAGTACCATTCCAAGCACTATGTAAAAGGGACACAGAGTGATGCTTACTTTCTGGTACTAGAACAACACAGCAAATGAGCAAATGTGTGTGTTTTCAGGTGATATCCCCCAACAAGTTGTGGATTTGTATTGTTTGAAACTTATTTTGAGTGATAACACTCATGCAGAAATGTGCTTATTATAGATGTGTACAGCAATGACTTTTACATGTTAGACACATTAGTGTGAGCAGCTTGTAATATCGCCAACTAGCCAGATGCCCTGATCCTGCTTCTTTCTAGCTACTACTTGTTTCACAGAAGAGGCTTTGTACTGATTTCCATTTGCCTAATCTTTGTTTAAATGAAGGCATATGATAGCCACCCTCTTGCGGCTCTGTGAGGAACTGCTCTTGGGATTTGTGACTGCCTCGCTGCTAGTTAGAAAGTCAGCCTCAGAAGACAAATGACTCCAACCAGTCTAGAATATAGTTTGGAATGACTCAAGTGTTTAACTTTCTAAATAGGTAGTAGTTTTAATTTCATAAAATTCACAACAGTCACTTTTCAGCTTTCTATCTTATTACATTAGAAGCCACACTTGCCAGAGGTATGGGAATGTGTCCATGTGGCTCCAAGTTCACATATACATTATAACTGTGTATTGTAACTGATACTAGGAGGGGATTGACTGTCACAGAGCTAAAGGAAGGAATATCAGAGGCCATCATAGTCCTGGGCTTCCTGAAATCCTACTGTTTTCTTCAGGAGCAGCTGCCAAGGATGAGACAGAATGAGAAGAAATCCACCCTTGTTCAGCAGATGCTATGCAGCTGCACATGTATGTGTGTGCATGTAAGACCTTAGCATAGCTTGCCTCTATGAGATTGGCTCCAAGCTTTGGACCAAAGTGAATGAGTTTCTTCTTGGCCTGCCCTTGAGTTTTCATCTAAGGCTAGGGATAAGTAAGTCTTGGGCTGGTGCCAAGGAAGTGAAGGAAGTATGCAGTCCTCTGAGTGCTCCTCAGCATGAAATGCTAGCATTACCAATATGTATCAACACACTTCATGTAGGTGGGACTGCCTGGTAGCAGTAGTGCAATACCAGGTTGTGCTTATAGGTTACAGAGTTTCTCTAAGTTTTTACTTTTTAAAATAAAACAACCAGTGATTGCTCAGATATGTAAGGGCTGAACTCTGCAAGTAGGTCTTTGGTGTGCTATAAGAAAGACTACCTAAACACAGCATGTTACACACAGTTAGGCAGATTCACTTATGTATGTTGGTTTGAATCCTCTCAAACACTCCATATGTAAGGAGTTGGAACAAGAGAATACAGTATCAAATAGTGAATGCCCAAGGAGTGTTAGTGACAGCACTTGCCATAGATGATCAGGAAAACACCGACAGAAGCATTTATCTACCAAATGTAGAGTATGAGCACCTCTTTAGTGGTTTGTCCACTGTGCATTGCGGGTGATTTCTGTGGTTGGTGATGAGCTCTTTCTTCTCTGCCTGTAGGACTATCGCGCTGTCATTGGGAAGCTCCCAGAGGATGACAAACCTAGCTTCTTCGGGCTGCCTGCCAACATCGCCCGCTCATCTCAGCGCATGACCAGTTCTCAGGTGAGACAAAACAGTTGGCTTTTGGAGAAATGCTGTTGTCCAGCCTGGAGGAACAAGCTTTACCTTTATTTCATTTAACACAAAGCACTCCATTTTACCTTAAGTTTTAAAGGTGTCAAATGATTTTATCCTAGTATATTTACTGAATACTATCAATTTCATTAAAACATTTGATTTATTCCTATGAAAGATTTTATTATGATTACTTCAAATGTAGCTTGTGTGAGGGAACTTGCCACAAATTGTAATTCTGTTCTAACAAGCAGGATACAAACAGATATTCTTCCTTTCTGTATTGTCTTACAGAAAATAAATGTTTGATATGAATTCATTACTGAACGTTATATAACTTTGGTTTTTAAAACCCTGGGGATAAAAAGTGTTACTGATTATTAGCTTTCCATCACTGTGATAGAATGTCTGAGGACAGTGTAAAGAGTAAATGTCTTCACAGGTTTGAGGCCATTGCTTTTATGCCTCTGTCCAGGACAGGGTCTGGTGGGAGAGGACTGCTGACATCATGGGAGCCAGGAAGAAGTGGGGTGGAGAGGAAGGGAAACAGAGAAGGGTGTGACAAAACTTACCCTCAAACATCAGACTCCCATTAGACCCTTTCCTCGGCTAGCCCCCCCTGTAATATCTGTTCTGCTGTGATTCCATCAGTGACACTGTAGCCCTCATGGTCCCCTAACTTCTCAATAAGGTTTGAAAGCAACCTTTTCCTGTGAACCACAGTACACGGGAACAACTTATCTAAAGGTTGTTGTTGCCACTTGGTGATTTGACTAGCTCCTGTTTGTTGGCTTCACTGTGTCTGAAGCTGTTCTCAGTGCTGTGTGTAGGAGCTTATGTACTGAGCTTATGTACTGTTCATAGACTCTTTCAAGTAAGAACCATTACTTTCCCCTTTAACAATGAGGAAAGAGACAGAGATTGTAGAGACTGCATATGGCAAGATGCCCGAGAGATAGAGGCAGAGCTGAACTTCTGACAGGGATTTATTCCTCTTTAGACTCTCTCTCTCTCTCTCTCTCTCTCTTTGAGACAGGGTTTCTCTGTGTAGCTTTGGAGCCTGTCCTAGAACTCATTTTGTAAACCTGGCTGACCTCGAACTCACATAAATCCACCTGCCTTTGCCTCCCGAGTGCTGGGATTAAAGGTGGCACCACCACAGCCTGGCTCATTTTTGCTTTTAAGAGTATTTGTTTTTGTTAGTGTATGAATGTTTTACCTGCATGTATGTTTGTGCACCATGTGTATGCCTTGTACCCACAGAGGCCAGAGAGAACACTGGATTCCTTGGACTGGAGTTACAGATGGTTGTGATCCATGGTTTGGGAGCTGAAGGTCCAGCTCGGTCCTCTGGAAGAGCAAGGACTCTTTAAGTTCTAAACTGTCTCTCCACCCCCTCATTTCTTTCATTTCTTTTCATTCCTTTTTTTGTTTTGTTTTTTGTATTGTTTTGTTTTTACATTCCAACCAAAGTTTTCATTCCCTCCTTTCCTCCTGTTTCCTACCTCAAATGATCCAATCAAGAATATTCCCCTCAGATGTACCCATCTGCTTGGGTTTTAGTTGATTCTAGTTGAAAACCAATAATAACCTTCACAGGGGATACACACCCAAGATAGTAACTGTATAGAACCCATCTCTTTAATACACTCATTAATTACAGAGTTATGATCTTGCTCTGAGCAGGATGCATGGGAAGCCTATTAGTTATCCAGAGTGAAACAGAACATTGTAATGACATATCCTCATGGTCCAGGAAGCATTTTATATTGTTACGTGACTTTCATCTGGTCTTAGTTACTTAGCATTAACCAGAATGAAGTCTAAAATACTCGCATACATTATGTACAATGAGTAGTCACCCTGTCATTTAGGTAATGTATTTCAGGGCTTGGAAACTTGCTTATTCACTAGCTGTATATGAATTTAAACATCTTTTGAAAAGAGGTTTCGTTTTTGCATTTGCTTGTATTAAAATCAGATAAGCTGCACATCTCTTGACTTGTTTTCTGACTTTTAATGCCACATTGACTTGAAAATGATCCTATGAGTTCCAAACATAGCAGTTTGTTTCACTTTGGGTCTTGAATGAAATCTCATCCCATCAGTACCCATTGTGATTTGGGCTTGCATGTGACTAGCATTTTAAGAGACATAGAATAGTCTACTAACATTCAAACAATAAACCTCTAGGAATTTTTGTGTATAGCATGTTGGCATATACTTTAACTTTTATATATATATAGGAAAATAAACCTGCTTTGACATCACCTTGAGGAAACCGTTGAAGAAAATACTTTTAACAGGATTGAAACATGTTTATGAGATATTTTATCTGAATTTTATAAACAGTAAGTGTGATAGGATTTTTAAAACTAGCAAATGAACCATGGCCAGACATGTGCTCTTTAACAGGAATGTCTTTCTTTGTGTGTTGCTACATCCTTGTTTATTGTTCTCTGCTTGTAAAAGAGTCATCATTGTATTATATGTGGATGTGTCATGCCATCTTTCTAGAACAGAACCATGACCATTTAGGGGGCTAGTAAACATTTCTTTTAAATACTTAAAATATATATATATATATATATATATTCCTTTTGGTTTTTCTCTGCATTCTTTTTTTCTGTCCTGTTTAATAAATTTAGAACACAAATGAGTGATAGCAAATGTTACCTGACTACCAACTAGGGACATTTTGTAGTGAAGTGATGCTGATAAATTAGGTGCTGTATAGAGTTCAGCTACAGCAAATGAAAATGATTCATCAGAAAAACAAAGAAAGTCAAACACTGAGTCTCCACAGTGTTTTTAGACTAGGAAATCAATCAAAAGCTCTAGGAATTAAATCCAACAGTGTGATGATGGTGGATGTTTAGCAATTAAGTAGTACATTCATTCTGAAAGATTTATAGTCCTTATTTTATTACCAGGCTTACTAATGTAAGAGTGAAACTAAGTATGAAATCTAAATATGCTACAAAGAAAACACAGCTTATATCTCTCAAAAACATGAAGGTGGTTAGCATGCTCTGGGAGTTCACGTTTAAATGCTGGCCTGCGAGACATGTGCTGGGTTTCTTGGGCTCACTTTGTTTATATTAGATAAGCCATGTGGTAACAGGGTTTTACTGGTTAGTTGTACTATTACAAGAAACAATTGCTGACTAGCCTGGTCATGTTACAGCCACCACCATGTCCATGGTCCAGTGTTGGTCAGTTCTGGATAATCTTTAGCAAATGTTTAAGGAGAGAAATGTTTCTAAAATAGGACCTGGTAGACATGATTTCATTTTGAAAAGAAAATGCAGGTTATTAATTTTGATGAGCACAACAAAGAAGCTAACAGTGATGAAGCTACAGCAGCAAAGGTCCCAGCAATGAGTAATGTTTACTTAGCTTCACTTTAATTAATTGATCTGTTCACATTTCTTTGGGGCATTGTATGTAGAGGGAATATTGAAATCTAAACTGAAAATGAATTTAAACATTAAAAATCTATAGAAATTCTTTGAGAAGCTAGGAGCCACTTGCTTTGTATTTATTCTGTACTCTGTTTAAATATACTGTCAGTATTTTGAAATGATAGGTTTAAATCAATTGAAAGGAAAAAAAAAACATTGTAGAGTTTGAAATGAGCAAGAAGAGAGTTGGGGGATTAGTAATGACACAGTGCATCCTTCTGCACAAAGCAGCAGCTTTTCTAACACCCATTGCAACATTTAGCTTTAGAATGCTTCTCCTCAGCTTTATAGCCTTTAGTCTTTTTAACTGTTTGAATGAGTCAGTTATTCACACAAAATGATACAAGGATTACACAAGTGTGTATACTCTTTGGTTGTCACAGACTGTCTGTGGCCCTGAGCCATGCTGCCTCCCTGCTGGGAGTGACTCACTATGATATGCTCTCTTCACCCAGGTTATCTCCCAGCTCAGGATCTTGGGAAGATCGGTCTCAGCTGGTTGCAAATTTGATAGAGAAATCTGGTCTAATGAACTTTCTCCCATCCTCAATCTCTGGAAGAAACTGAACCAGGTTAGTCATGGAAGGATTGAAATTTTTAAGTCTTTTCCCTGTGTCCTTTCTCCAGCACCTTGGAGCTGTGTTGTTCTGCCTGACTTACAAAGACATTCACATTGCGCGTTCCCACCCCAAATCAGGGCTGTTTGTATCTACTGATCTTACCCAAACTTTACTGGTGTTAGGATAGTGAATAACTTTGGACTGTTGCCTGTACATTTAAAGTATTTATTATATTCTGGCTCCTAGACCCATAGTTGATGAACCTGTTTATATTCAAAGTTCATTTCCTGTTCCCTTTTGTGGATTGTGGTTCTGGCATCAATTTAGTCTATAAAGTCCCCATTGTGTTCTTGGGTCCTGCTCTACTAGGTAGGATTTTTCATGGCAAGATCATCCCATATCTCCACAAAGCCAGTTAGGAAAGGGACTAGAAGCCAGAATTGCAGTCACTTCAGTGTAGGCAGCCGCAGTTTCCTTGTCATGCAGACAGCTCTGTGCTACCTAGAGTTGGTGTGGATCCCTGCTGTGGCCCAGAGGTGACTTTAATGATGAAGATTAAGCTGCTTCTTAGCAGTCTTTTAGGTTGGTGATTTTAAAACACATATTTGCAGTTTAGTAGAATTAGAAATGGGACAATGAAGAGTTTCCTAAAACTATCTTAAACCAAACCTAGAAACTGTAATTCTCTTACCTGTTTGGCTTATCAAATTAGGCAGTCACAAAACCAAAGTATGTATAGTCAGGAAAAGACAAAAATACATTCACTGATTAAATTCAGGGAGGAAAATGTTAACTCATTGTCCAAGGGAACTGAATTGGCAAAGCTGAATAGATTTATTCCACAATCCTTCCTTCACTGTGCAGCAAAGTTTATTATCTTTCCTCTTCAAAAATAAATTCTATTGTATAATTTTTAAAATAAGTTTTATATTTTGACTTTCACATTTAAATTATTTTCAGATTGGGTGAAACTGAATTTAAAAAGAAATGAAGTCATATACTTTAGTAAATACTTACCTCATACCTTCTGTGAGTCATAAGCATTAATAACCAGATCTTTCTTTAACAATTGTAAGTGAAAGTAAATGACTTCTTGTTTGCTAACACTGGAGCTGGAGCTCAATGTAAAGTGATTGTCCCGAATGGATGGCCTTGGGCTCTATCCAGGCACCTATAAACAAACAAACAAAAATGTTCTGTCAGTGACTATGTTTGAAATTTGATTTGTATGAAACCTAACCGTGGAACAAGATAAAAGTCATCTCGGGGCCACATGGAGCTGTATTCTAATGAAATTCTGTCTTCATCTTTGGGGACATTTCCTCATTTTTGTTTTTAATAAACAAAGGAATTATTTTTCATTATTAGGGCACAATCAAATCAATACCTTACCAGCTGGGATGCACATTCCTGGTTCTGGAATGTGTGAGAGAGCACTTGTGAAATGCAGCATCCTAGTGGGGACCAGAATCAGAGAGGCATGTGGAAGGGAAACTCCAGAAAGTCAATGAAGTGAGGAGAAGGAGGAGGAGGATGAAGGTCTTTTTACAAGTGAAACTCTAATGTGGGAATATGATAGCACTAGGGATGGAGAAGAATGCTTTTCTATCTTCTCTGCTATAACAATGTTTTTCATGTACTTTTAATTTAACATAGATTACCATTGTGTATTACAAAGCCATAATAACCATGTAACTAAGAGGACAGAAAGCAGGTTTTTCCCACTGATTTCAATGTAGCATGGGACATAGAAGTACATTGTTGGCTTTAATTTCCCATATATATTTCTAGATTGTTCTGCTCATCTTACTTCTTTTTGTGTATTTGCCTGCTTGGTAAATGGAAGAAACCATAAGCCATTATAATACATAGTTAATTCTTGTGAAGCCTACACCATACCGAGTTCTTGGTAAATATTAGCTATTACTACTACAGATCTTAAGAACATTAGGATGACATTGTTCTTGGGTGTCTGTGTTCTGGACCCATTGGTCATTCCTTCATAATTAAATAATGTAGAAAAGTAGCATTTTTAAAATTTAGTTTATAGATGTAATTAACAAAGGAGCTTATCCTAAAAACTAAAAGAGCATAGGTTTATAGAGAAATGCACCTAGATTAGCATGGTCAGTTATTTCAAAGTACAAATTATATTGCACATTAAGGGAATTTTCAGTCCATATGAATAAAATTATTTTAACAGTTACCTCTGGGAATAATGATAAGCATAACTTTTCAGTGAATAGCTAATAGATGAGGTTTGATTACACTCAAAAAATAAGTTTAGCAGAGTTAGTAGTAGCTGCTTAGGCCATGGGCTTGGCCAGGACTGCTTAGCTACCTTAGGTTGAACTCTTTAAAAGGTTTTTATTAATTTTTTTTGAGAACTTTATACACTGAATTTTGAGCATATTGACCACCTCACACTTCCTCCGAGATAAAACCCCTCTCCATATCCACCCAGCTTTGTGTCATTTTTTTTAACCCTAAGGTCAAGGTTTTTTGTTTTTGTTTTTGTTTTTCATGTTTATTTCTTTATTATGTCTGCAGTGTTCTACCTACATGTTTGCCTGCACACCAGAAGAGAGCACCAGCTCTTATTACAGATGGTTGTGAGCTGGGAATTGAATTCATGACCTCTGGAAAAGCAGAGCTCTTAACCTCTGAGGCAGCTCTCCAGCCCCTATGATCTATTTATGTGTGCATATACTCAGTGGTGTGTGACCATTACTAGACAATGGTCTGCCTTCCAGGGGCCACACCCAAGAGAAATCTAACTTTGCCTCCCAGCAGCCATGAGCTAACAGTGGCTCCTGAGCTAAGGCAGGGATTTCCTGAACATGGTCCCCTCCCTCCATGCTTTGGTGGCTAACAGTGGCTCCTGAGCAAAAGCAGGGATACCCCAAACCCCACCCCCACCCCTGCCTCTCAGGCTGAGGTGATATCTGACTAGAGTCTTGTGCATATTTTCACAACTGCTGTGAGTTCTTGTGTGGAGGTATTAAACAAAGGGATATATAAGCCAAATAAATACAACCCAGGCATTGCCATAATGCAACAATGCACAACTTATGGGGCCCTTACTGTTTTCTCTGCACTTTGAAAGCTTTACCGTTGAAATGAAAAGAACAGTGGCATTTGGCTGAGATGGATCAACCTCTCATGTTAGAGGACTTCCCGAAGATCTTTGCTTCCAAGAATATCTTTATGTCATCATCACATGTAACTAACTGATGAAAGTATAGCTGCACACCCATTTTTAACATTCAGTTATTTTTCTTCAACTTTGAGAAAAAGTGCTGCTTGCGAGTCTGATTATTAGTCCTTTGTGGGTGATTGGATTTTTTTCTCTTGTATATTCTACCTCTGCTCTTCAGCTTCACTGTAATGTATGTGGGTATTGTGGTTTTACTTCTCTTTATCTGTCTGATACTCAACAGCCATGCTTCCATGTGCACATGATCTTGCATCTACTTAACCACACACTGTGAAACACCAGGCACCCTGCTAGTTGTGGCTGCTTAATAATTGCTTCTTTAAAGCATCATAATCCATCTTAAGCCTTATAAAAATAAAATTTTAGAGCTAAAAACGTCTCCCTGGGGCGCCCGAGTGATGGCTCAACTGTTAAAGCACTGGCTGCTCTTCCAGAGCCCCTGGCTTGGTTCTCAACCCTGACATGGTGGTTTACAACTGTTCTTCACTTTAGTTTCAGGAGCTCCAATGCCCCCTTTGGGCTTTATGGGCACTGCACATACATGGTGCCCAGACACACATGGGCAAAACACTCATACACATAAAATAAAAATAAATGACTAAATCTTTCTAAGAATTCACAAACCCTTTTTGCTCTAGTGTATCTTGGGGGACACTACCCACTTTGCTCTAGCAGGGCTTTCCTTTTGCCCCATTCCCTCTGCCCTGCTAAAACCCATTAGATTGCATTCCTAAAGCAAGCCCCCAAGGTCTGTTCCCTTATTTGGCCAATCCTTCCTCCTGAGGCTGACTACCAAGGTCCAGCTATCAAACTGTTGATGTCCAGCAATCAAAAGCTCCCTTTGGCTCACCTAATTAACATACCCAATTAAAATTAAATACCTCCTCCTAACACAGGGTTTTCCCTTGTGTCTTTATAAACTGCCATGTTCCTATGTGCATGTCTGTCTCTTCTCTACTTAGAGGCAGTCCTTTGTCCCTCTGGGACAAATACCTCTGCCTCCTTCCCCAGATTCCCTTCCCCTTATTCCTGACTTCTGCCCCTCTGGGGCAAATAAATCTTTGTGCTGAGAACTTGGTCTTGGGAATCATGAGGTAGAAATTTTCCTTTCATATCTAGCTTCAGCCATGCGGGTGTATTCTCATCCTTTGCTACATAAAGATGCCCAAATGTCACCTGCTCCTTCAGACTTTCCATTCTCACACTGTCTCCTGGGTTCAGGGTTTTCTTGTCCTGTCAAACTCAGGATTCAGAAGTTTAGCAGTTATTTTGACATTTTGTGTAGAAACCAGAATGCCTTTTCAAACTTCATTTTAATTGTTATTTGTAAAAACAAAATGTTCATTATTTATTATTTAAATTTTTATCTGGGACAGGATCTCATGTAGCTTAGTTTGGTCTCAAATTCACTATGTATTCAAGAGTGGCCATGAACTCCCTGATCATCTGGCCTCCACATCCTAAGCAATCAGATTGCAGGCATGTGCCATGCCCATGGCTTAGTAGCCAAATCTCAAATCTGCCATATCTTGTATTTGTCTTTTTCTCCCTCATTTCCTTCTGAAAACCATTGCTGTGATTTAAGTTTTATTCTTTTGTTATGAATTGCTGCAGAAAGTTCCAAATTTCTTTGTACTATGCACCTGTTTTTCAAGCCCTCATTTATAAATTAATTTCCTGTAAGAAACCCTCATAAGTGGCTTTATAGCCTTTTCCAGTGTAAAGCAGCCTCGGTATCACATCTACATCATGGTGGAGTCTGTCTCTGGAACTTTCCAAATGTTTTTCTCTTTTC